CCTTGTTTTTTCCTACCCACCCCCCTCCTCAGACGTTCTTGTTAAACCCTGGATTTGTGCTGGAAATGGCCTACCTTGATTATCATACACATTGTAAGGAGAGTGGTCACTTTAGATAAGCTATTACCAGCAGGAGAGTGGGTTTGTGTGTGTGGGGTGGGGTGGGGGGGTGAGAAAACCTGGATTTGTGCTGGAAATGGCCCAACTTGATTATCATACACATTGTAAGGAGAGTGATCACTTTAGATAAGCTATTACCAGCAGGAGAGTGGGGTGGGAGTGGGTATTTTTTCATGCTTTGTGTGTATATAAAAAGATCTTCTACATTTTCCCCAGTATGCATCCAATGAAGTGAGCTCTAGCTCACGAAAGCTTATGCTCAAATAAATTTGTTAGTCTCTAAGGTGCCACAAATCCGCCTTTTCTTTTTGCGAATACAGACTAACACGGCTGTTACTCTGAAACCAGTCAAAATACTGATGACTTATAAATGGTGATTGAAGTAAATGTTTGTTCCCATGCTTTAAACAGCACCAGCTCTTTATTTCAACACTACCCTACCAGAATAAAAGGATTTCTCCCAGGCATTGACCCATGTTAGTTTCCATTGTGGTATACTGGGGTTCTTTTATCTCAACATCAATATTGTGGTTAGTCTTCAAAACAGAGCTGTTACTTTTTATTCACACGTTCACTGCAGAAACCTGATTCAGCAGTGTTCTTTTGACAGCTGGCATGTGCTTCAAAGGGGATGTTTACAGTCCTTGACCCTTACAATTCCACTTATCCTGCATGGGGATCAACGTCCCATGGGTGCGTTCCACTGAATGCATGGCCTTGTGGTTAAGAAGCAAGACTGGGACCAGGAGATCTGATATGGGCTCTGTTCCTGGCCCTCCTGCATGACTTTGGGCAAGTCACTATCCATAAAATGGGGCTGCTAATACTAGTTGTCTACTCTGGAGGAATGCACCTTCCCAATCTTGGGTTGCTCTGGGGGCTGGAGAGGCCCCAGGATAATTTAGGCAGCCCTGTCTGAAATCTCTGCAGCCCCATCTGTCCTTGACACAGCCTTCTGATCCCAGACGCACCCTGGCACACCCCCTACTCTGCAGCTTTTGATGGGGGTCCTCAGAGAGTAGCCTTATTTCTGTGTTCTCCAGTGCCTGTCCTGGGGGAATCTTCTCCCGGCTGGAGCCAGGGCTTTTAGGGCCCTTTTACACTGCGCTGGCCTAGTGTATAGGGGCCAGAGCAGGAATGAGGCTCTCATTCCAGGACAGAATTAAGCAGCAGCACTCAAGTGGATCAGGGACTGAACCTACAAGATACCAAGCACCTCCTATGTGGGGCTGATCTCTCTCTGCTCCCCCCGGAGTTAATGAGAACACTCAGTGCCTCACAGGAGGTGCTCAAGGGAGATGATCTTCAAACATAGGCAAAAGGTGGTTTTGCCCTATGCTGAGGCACTATACAGTAGCAATGACCTATTTCAGTTACACAGGAAGAAAGAAAAGGAGGACTTATGGCACCTTAGACACTAACAAATTTATTTAAGCATAAGCTTTCGTGAGCTACAGCTTACTTCATCGGATGCATTCAGTGGACAATACAGTGGGGAGATTTATATACACAGAGAACATGAAACAATGGGTGTTACCGTACACACTGTAACCAGAGTGATCACTTAAAGTGAGCTATTAACGGGGGGGGGGGGGGGGCATGACACCTTTTGTAGTGATAATCAAGGTGGGCCATTTCCAGCAGTTGACAAGAACGTCTGAGGAACAGTGGGGGGTAGCGGAGGATAAACATGGGGAAATAGTTTTACTTTGTGTAATGACCCATCCGCTCCCAGTCTCTGTTCAAGCCTAAGTTAATTGTATCATTCTGCTCTTAGGCCCTGATTCAGCAAAGCACTGAAGCACACGAGTCAGTGGGATCCTCGTGTACTTTGTTGAATCAAGGCTTTAATACCCTAATAAGGCTATACTGTACATACACAGAAATGGAAGGATAGGATAACATAACCCTTTACAGTGACAGCAAGAGCAGGATTTTAGCCTTGTGTCTCTTCCAAATCATGTCTGTTTAGTTCCCTGACCTCCCTCTGCCCCACCCTCCAAAAAAAAGTTTTACTAATGCTAATAGTGCAGAAATAATGCAGCTGTTGAAAAACAGTTCATTTTTATTCATCATCAGCAGAAGTGCCAGCTGATTTCTGATTCCAGATCCTTATTGTTGCTGATGATGAGATTGAAAGCAGATAGAATGCAGTTGGATTTTCAGATACTAAAGTCATCATGTTTTGCTGGCTATTAGGGAAAAAAACCATAGTTACTTAAAAACTAAGCAGTTTTCAATATGGAAGTAATTAACGGAAAATAAATATGGAACAGCATTTTTACAGAACTTCTGTTTTGATCCTAATTACACTCTTGGAAACATGCATCATATGATATACAGTATGGTGAGTGTATTATGCTTTTTTCTTTGTCTTGATAAGTGAATATAGGACAATATAACTCCTATGTTTATCTGAACAATAGATGAAATACTGGAGTTGAATAGCTATCTCAAGATGCATCCATGTTGAGTCCTTGGAGACTCACTAGTTCTCTTGAATTATGTGTATATTAGAAACATTTCATCTTTGTCACAATGATTGAAGGAAAAATGTAAATATGACACCTTGTCAGACTTAAACATCTGACATCCAAATTACATACCTGTCAACATTTCAGGAAGAAAATGAAAGTGATAAATAGCAATCAAAGAGGGTGGGCATCCAGTACATTGTTCTGCCTTTGGTCCTGTCTCCTCTTTAAATTTCACAGATTTCCTCTTCCTCCTGCAATTCACTACAATGAGCGGGGGATCTGGGGTGATTGGAGAGCAACCCTGAATATCATGGTTATGGTGTATCACAGTGCCGTCAGGGGAGGAGTAAGCTCTGCAGCACCTCAGCTCCATACAGGGCTTCTTTCCCTTCTGCAGGCAGGGCTGAGAGACTCTTCTAATCTAATCTGGGAAAGTGGCCAGTTCCAGCTCCTTCTAGTGCCCAGAATTGAGGTCCAGACAATATGTAACTTCAGACCAACTGAAAAATCTGGCTTATCCTCCAAAACACTTTAAAATGTGGATGATGCCAGTGTTTGAGGGCTAGCAGAAGAAAGATTGAATTTGTGAGCATCACCCACTAAACACTGGTGAGTTAACTGGCCTGATGTTATTTTGGCCTGATTTAAACAGGCCAAAGTGTTTAAACAGGAAGAGTGGGTAGTGCACATTGTCTTGTACAACATTTGTAAGTGCTATGTAAATTGGATAAATCCAGCTGTTTGCTAGGTGTTACTGTGTTCTCACTGAAATGCAAATGCCAGTTCCTATCTGCAGTTATAAATAAGGACACTCTTAAAGGCGACCTGCAAAGGGCAAAACAAAATGAAATTGTATCTAATGTTGTTTTTTAATTACATATAAAAAAGGCCTGAATCATTTCTGCATGTTAATTGGGAAAATGTCAGAACCGAGTTCCTTTAACTACAACATAGCATAGCTAATTCTTTGTGCTTGTCACTGAAATTTTCCTTCTTTGTGTTTGTTGTTTATCATTTTCTAATACCATTAAGCATTGTCATATACCTGAAGAGACCATTCCATCTTTGTGCTTCTAAATTACATCCTTGTATAGATGGGTAATTTGCACATGTAAAGAAAATAGTCTTTCAATATCACATGTAATTTAAATGTAAGGACCATTTTCCTTTTTATGCTTTTCATGCCATGATCAGCAAGAAAATTAGTATCTCAACAAAAGTTACCTTTAGTGATGGCTTGAACTCTGATTAACAACTGTGGTTTGATATGTCACCGATCACAAAGACCTATAAAAATATCCTTGTAGACCAGCATAAAATTGTTTCCAGATTTTGATCTTCTGCCAAGGTTTCCAGCATGAAAGAAAGGTCAGTTCCTCAAGGAGAAACGGTTCCACTCTCAAGAAGAAACCTGATTGTGTAGGTGATCTTAAGTCTAAGTGAATTTGTGGAGTGCTGTCTTGGTAGCTACTGATGTATTTCTTCTCTGTCCCCTAAAGATGAAATATTCTCCATCTTTCATATCTGTACACTTGTAAACAGGGGCGGATTTAGGGGCAGGTGATCCAGGCGACTGCCTGGGGTGCTGAGCTCAGGGTCCTGTGCATGAATAAATACAGACTTACAGATCCTAGTGTGCAAATTTATCGTCTTATATGACCGGGAAAAATCATGCATGCAAATTATGCATCAAAGTTGTGAAATGGGCTACAAATGCAATAAAAAATAAGGTACTCAGAAGTTTAACAAATGGGAGGAGGGGTGCCAAAGATGGTCCTCACCTGGGGTGCCATTTGGTTTAGGGCCGGCCCTGCTTGTAAACTATGGATTGCACTGTAGTATGGTTATTTGCAAACCCTTTGTGTTTGGGTGTGCTGTGTTATAATGTTCTGTACATTTCTGTCTATATTTATTTAGTACTTGAAAACACATCTCATTAAAGATACTTTTTAATGGAATAAATATGATGCTTTAGTTTTTGTTTTGTTTTTTAATTGGAACCAGTACAACCTCTGGTTTCACAAATGAAGCAATTCCGAATGGGTTTAGCTACTCGAATTGGGCCCCTGCGCACAGCAGTGGAATCAATCTACAAGTTTTCTATCTCACATTTGTTCGAAAATGCAGACTTGCCTCTAGTCCCAGACTTGTCCACAAATCTCCATGCGCCCAAGTGTGCGCCAGTGACAGGAGGAGCTCATTTTGATTGTTTTTTTGCCATACTCTAGTAACATCATTTGTGAAACTGAAGTTGGCTTTTCAAACATGAGACAGGTATGTAATAATGTTTTCCAATGATCTTTGTGAAATTGATTTTTTTTTCCTTTCTTAAGGAAATTATTTTGGGGAAAAACATGTCGCACAAACTCATTGTTCCCTTGTCTATTCTTTTTCCTCTGTCAGACCAGGATGAGAGAGCAGCGGAACTCAGCAGGGAGCAGAATGAGAAAACCATTCGCAGCACTCAGACGGCTCTACGTAACTTCAGAGAGTTTCTCATCTCCAAATATCCCTCAGAAACCCGGGAAATCTATGTCATCCCTTGCAAAGAGCTCGATGCATACCTAGCCTCCTTCTTTGTGGATGCCAGACAGAAGGATGGCTCAGAATATGAGCCAAACAGCTTGGCCAACTATCAGTGCGGGCTGGAGCGCTATCTCAAAGAACACAGGTACGGATACAGTATTACAAGGGATAAAGAGTTCAAGAGATCTCAAGAAGCTTTGAAGCAAAAGCAGATAGAGCTGAGGTGTAAAGGCAAAGGAAACAAGCCACACAAATCCATGAAGCTGACCTTTGCTGATGAGCTTATCCTACGCAAAAGAGGCTTGTTGAGTCGATATAATCCCGAGGGGCTGCTGAACCTTGTCTGGCTAAATAATACTAAGGCTTTTGGACACTGCACAGGTTTTCATGGGTCCACCCTCAAATGGGGGGATATCAGGCTCCGGGTGACAGAAACAGGCTTGGAATATTTGGAGTGGATGGGGCAAGAGACTGGTGATATGAATGCCAAAACCAAGAGAGGAGGGACTGATTCCAGAGTCTATGCCACCCAGCATGCTCCACAGACCTGCCCAGTGCAAGACTACAAGGAGTACGCTCAAAGACGGCCCCCTGCAATGCGATACGAAGATGCTCCTTTCTACCTGTCCATCAAGCCGGTTGTCAATTTGGCTGCACTTCATTGGTACAACTGTCAAGCCCTGGGGAAGAACAAGCTTGCAAAGATGGTAAAGACGATGTGCGAGAAGGGCAACATCCCTGGCAGAAAGACCAACTTCAGCGTCTACCAGAGCTGCAGCACCCTGTCCGAAGCACAGAGTAACCAGCTGGTGCTAATCTGTAACAATTTAAGTCAACAAGCTGCCCAGTCTATGGCAAGCCACTCCAGTTCTGGCAACTTCATAGTGTCGGCTTCTTATGACTCTTCCTCCGACACAGCTTGAAAGGTGGATTTCAATTGAACAGTTTTTTGTTAAGCATTGAATTTATGCCCAATAATACACATCAACTGTGATTGTACACTACTTCCCCACACCTTCCCAGTGTTAATTCACTTTATAAAAAATATAAATATATAATATATTTTTCTTTTTACAAATAAGTCAATAGAAATAGTTTAGTATTACTAACATAGTATTTATAGTGTTTAATACAAAAATGAAAGCTACTTATGGGTTATAATATAATTGCAGATTTTACAAGGGCAAAATGGTTCTCAGGCAACACAAGAGAGACTGGAAATACAGTTTTTAACATGCATGCAAACAATGAGTGTAAATCCCCATGGAGGCTTACATCTTAAATCTGTTTTAAATCATCTTTGTAAAGCTTCTTATTTTGATCTGCAAGGTAGAGGGAGACAAACTTAGACAAACTGGCTGCTGCTTCTTACCTGAAAGCTTGTTCTAGTTCAGCCAGACCAGGAAATAAGAGGTGTATCAGTGTAAGTTTGTGAAATCATTTAGAGCAGTTTATGTTTTCTTATTATTGTGGTTCCTGAGGCTCATTTATGCCAGCTGGAAAAATATATAATATTCCTAAACAAAGTCCACTGAAGACTATTTTTTAACTACTTTTTGTTGTTGATTTTCTGTGATCAAAAATGTCGCTGGTCTTTAGACTATGAAATATTGTTTTGAACAATATGCAAAGGTGTAATGGCAAAAAGACTGTTATACAAATAATCTTTACTGTTTCAAACTGTATTGGTCATTAGTATTTTGTTTTATGTTATACATGGAAATGCAACCTGAGCTTCTACTAAATTAGAATTTCAGCCACTCTTTCAATTTTCCAGGGAATGCAACAGTGCTGAAAAATCAGAAATCTCTTCCCAGGCCATAAAATTAGAATACAGATAAATCAAATGTGTCTTAAATTGTCATTCAACATCCATAGGAGGCATAATAGACAATTTAAATGATTTTTATATTTAATATGTGAGGGGGTAAATTAAATTCTTAAAATACTAGAAAACACAGTGAGCTAAATTCAGCTATTAACACACAATTCCCACCGAAGACAATAAGTGTGAATATGAAAGCAGAATTTGGCTCTTAAAGACTAAATAATGACTGTTATCTTTCCAACTGATTTACTTTGCAGTATAATTGTTCATTAAGCACAGGGAGGACACTAACAAATTAAACATTTCAGCTGGAACCTTTACATTATAATCCCTAACCTTTAAAATTAAGTATGATCATTTTGATGGTAATTGAACTGAGTTTATGCTGCATTACATATGAAAATGCTTTGCTAAGGTACCCTAGCACTGCAAAGATGAGACTTTAGACAAAACCACTAGCAAGTTGATCTGATGGCCATTGAAGTTAATGGGAATCCATCCATTGACTTCAACCGGTGCTTGATCAGGTCATAGGTGAGCAAGCTGTCTGTTTCTTCGTTTACATTCTTTAGATCTGCAACTCTGTAGTGAGTGACATTTAAACCAGTGGAGAATAAAGGGAGGGTGAGAATAAGGGTAGCAAAAAGAAATAGAAACTGACCAACCCAATGAATATACTTTAACGGGTGCGAGGATAAAGTTTTCTCCTATGCAGAGGATTAATACAGGGTTCTATGCATCACTTCAGCCTTATTCTGAGGTCTTCAGTGGAATGTTAGTAGCACGTCGACCTTGTGTTGACCCTCTGCATAAGCATGAATTTCACCCCAACGAATCTCTCTCCCACCTGACCTTGTAACACACATCAACTCTAAAGCAACTTGTGTGTGGCACAATCTGCTTTTGCACTCCCGGTGATACCTACATATCAGTATATCTGTGGCGCTACAGGGCTTTGATTTCTCGTGTGCTTGCTAAACCAGAGTTTTGGACAAGAGGGTAAAATCACCAAGAGCTCCTCCTCTACCCATCTTTCCCACCCCTGAGTTACTAACAGATACAGTACCCTTTCTTCCCCACTGTTGAGGACTTTGGGGTAGACGTTGGTTTGGCTGGAGTCAGGTCAAGATAGCTGATAGCTCATACTGCAAGTTCTTACTGGCTCTACAAGAGGCATTGGTCTTGATTTTGAACATAGCATTTGAGGCCAAAACTTGCGCCCATGGACATTAGCGTCAGGTGTGCCACTGAGTTCAGGGGATCAGGATACTTGGCTCTTTAGGGTGTGTCTACACGGGAGTTGGAGCTGTGATTGGAGAACAGATTGGCGTACCCATGCTAGCTTCAACCTCTCTCGCACATGTAAAAACAGCAGCGCCAGTGGGGCGGCCTGGGCTAGCAATGTGAGTGTGTGCCCAGGCTCACTGATGTGCTCGTGCGGCCTGGGCTGAGCTAGCTTGGGTATCCCACCTGTGCTGCAGTCAGACCTCCGATTGCAGTACAGACATAACCTGAGTGAAAGAGGAGGGAAAATAATGGACAGTAGGTGCTGGCGATGGGCCTCCTAGGGCTTTTAGATGGTGCCTGCAAATAAATGTGCCAATGCCCCACACCGTTTGGATATCCAAATGCCATTCCTGTGACTCACCCACATGCGCTGTTCTAACATGCTTCCTTGGAGAGACTTGTGGTGGCGACTGTCTCTGTGATGTTCAAGGTGCTGTAGAATCCCCTTGTTTGGCCTCTCTGCTCCCACAGAACAGAACTGCAGTGTCTTTAGGGCATCTGGCTCCTCCCGCGGCTGAGCAGGAGACACAGGGCACCCGTTGAACCGAGGGGCAACACCACCATGAGAGATAGTAATGCATCCCTCTCGCAGGTCTGGTCAGTATTATGGAACCCGTGTAGGTAGGACCGGGAATTGTTAGCTGAGATGAATCGGTTTGCGGTGTGATTTATGCCTTTTCATATTTTCTGATCAAGCTTTGTCTCCCTGATTGGCCCCATACAGCATAAAAAGAAATACATTTCTCCACCAAACACTTGAAATGCTGCTTTGTGCATGCGAGGGTTGTGTTTTAGGGTATGTGTCCACGCAGCAGCTGCAGTAGAATGGGTGGCGGCTTGCTCTAGCCAGCCAGGTACGTACCCAAAGGGTCAGGTGAAATTGTACTTGGGTGGGTTGCCGGAGCTGCTGCTCATATTGCTATTTTTAGCATGCTAGCTTCTGCAGAGCTAGCACCTGTCTGTCTACCCATGCTGGGAATTACACCTGCTAGCTGCAGTGTAGTCATCCCCTTAAACTTACCAGAGCCTTTTACTCTGGCTGGCTGGAGGCAAGTCTAATCAGAGTAGATCATTAAGGAAGAAAAGGCACTAAGATTGCTGAATGCACTTGGGGAGCAAAAGCAGTTCCATTGCTTTTTGCTTCTCAATCCATATTTCCCATACCCTTCCTGCCAACTCCCATTTCCGCAGTGTTTGTCTGTTTGGCATTTACAAGTTTGAGTTTGGGTTCACGTCATAGGCAGGGCATTAATCTAGATATAACCATGAAAGATAGCAGCTCTGCTAGTTCCCATGCTTAGGAATCATTGTGTATTTTGGAGATTGGGAGGGAGGGGCATGTTTATTGCATTTATTTTATTTTTAAATACATGTTTGTGTATTTAGCCTTTTCTTTTGTACTTTATGACAGCCCTAACGAGTAACTCAGGGTTACAATAGACTGAACTTGCCATGCCAGTGGCAGAATGCTGGAAAGCTTTGCTAGGGATGGTCAGCGCAATACGGAGCTCTCTAGTTAGACTCTTTGTTGAGGTAGCTTTGAACACATAGGGCCAGAATCTGATATCTGTATAGTATGGTTGCCACTGGCGATGCCCACACTGCCAGCCTGCCCCTCCTCCCCCCAGCAGCCTGCCCCCACACCCATCCTGCCCTAGGAGCCCGTGGCATGTTACAGACACTCAGAGCAAGACCAGGGCATTGGCTGGACTTCAGCGTGTTGTCCCCCAGCTGCAACTCACATGGCCAGCAGCAAATAAAACCTGACATGCCACATCCGCTGACCAGGAACAAGCAAGGCAGCAGAAAAACTGGCCTGGCCAGGTGGCAACCCTACTGAGTAGCACCATACTCCAACAGTAGACCCATTGGCGTCAAAGGGCACTTGGACGAAGGTGCTATTCAGTCTGAGTAATGGTATCAGAATCTGGACCATAAAGGAGGTGCTATATACGTCTTTATTAATATGCCTGCTGTACGTTTTAATTTAACCTGTCAAAATAGAGCTTTGAGAAGTGAGTTCAAGTACTTCTCTCTTTTTTAACTTTGGGAAAAATGAGTGTAATGACTCTTCCTGTGCGATATTTGCTTGTTGAATTAGCTGTAAGTGGGAATGTTATTGTCTCCGCAGTGTGAAGCTTTCCTGTTAGTAAAGCCACAACAGTGCAGCCAGGACATAGTTCCGTAAATTGCCACAAGCCTTTTAACCCTTTATTTCTACAGAAACCAGAGGCTAGATTCTGTCACCCTTACTCCATGATCAGTCCCACTGAAATCAAAGGGACTAGTCATGAAATAAGGTATTACTCATAGCCAATGACCTGAGCCATGTGAAATGATGGAGGAGTTGGGAAACTTATAAAAATGCCTTGAGAGTCTTTGTCTGTGCTATTGACTGACTCCTGTTCTAATGTAAACACTGGCATGGGCTCTGTGCATTTTAAACAAGTTAAGAAAAGTAGCACCGTTTAAAAGTGTTTAGTATGGTTCGCATCAATATGACGGCCCTCATTTACAGCTAAGCAAACCCACTGGCTTGAGTGGGGTAACTTGGGCATAACTGAGTACAAAATTTGGTCCTCTAATTTATTTTAAAGTCTTAATACAGCTACACAAACCCTGAGCAGGAGAGAGATTTCAGAGCCACTGTTTTTGTTGTGCAAAGTAGGCTTTGCTGAGGTTATTGCATGACCACATTGTCAGTTCTTGCAAAACAACTCGCAGTAAAAAGCATGACACTAACAAGTGTAGTAAATGTAAGGCAAACCATCTGTTTAAAAAGCCAAGAAACAAACCTGGACGTGTGTTATCATCACCCATTAAAATAGACACAGGTGAGTTCATCTGAAAGTGGTCCTTCAAATACATGCATATGAGTCTATTTGAATGACTGGACATTCAGATATGTGTGCCTGTGGATACTAGAACTGAATGCTTATGCCTTGTTTTAATAATCACTAGTGTCTATCTCTGGGGTTATTTCATGTTTGCACAAAACACCTGTTTCACTATGTGATATTCCATGCTTGAGATGGGTGAACTCTGGAGTTTTGTGAACCTTACAGTCTATTATTTGTGTCTGAAAAGGCTTGCACAACTAGTTCGAGTATATGAATCTTACCTGGGTTACACAAACTTCCACATAGCTATGCTTTTAAATACATGCAGTTAGCATAAAAAGCCTACAAGTTAACTGTAATTACATTGCAATGTGCATAAAAACCCCTCTTCAGTTATTTTGTGTAATAATTCTACAATAATAGTGTACAAGCAACGTAACCTTGGACAATATAACAGTGCAGAGCAGCTATACTTGTCACACAGGTCTGTTTCTTGAAGGACACCAACATTGTGGAACTATTTCATATTAACATGCATTTCTCAGAAGCTACAGAGCATTGATATTTAATCTATTGTGTACTTACAGCTTTGTTTCGGCATATGAGGTGTTTTACAGGTTACATTAATACACACACTTTGCTCAAGTGTTTGATTAGAAGGAAAATCACATTTTATTACGCTGCTGGTATAGCTGATGTGCAGCACAAAACAGCATTGCCTAGTAGGAGGTGGCTTTGTGCTTTCACACTGCCTGGATTCTGGGCTGGACAAGGGGCCAGAATGGCCCTAATGTAAATTAAAATCCCCATAGCACCATGTACTATCCCTATTCTATTCAGATTCCTATATGTCCCTCATTGCCGTAGTATCTGAGTATGTTCCAAACGTGCATTAAATTACATGACTAGCATCTGTTATGTATGGTTCTTCCTTTCTCTCTTCCCCTCCCCAAAGACAATTTGTAGAAGTTTGTGATGGGGTCCTGACCCCTGCCATCCTCGATCCGCCCCCTCCTTTCCTGATCCTGACATGTCCCCTACACCAGTGGTTGTGAGAAGGCAGCTCACTTTCCCTGCACCAGGAAAATCCTTCCTCTGTCGATGGTGGCACATTCATGGCACCTGCACACTGGAGCGGGGAACAGAGTCTTTCCCCCTGAGTGTGCCTATTTCTATTCCTAACAGACATACCTGTGGTCCCTGGAGCACCGGGCCCTAGCATTCTGGTAATTGCAGGCTTAGATTTTGTAGTATGCGATCACTGAAAGGAACACCAGTGTGTCTATTTGAATGGCCACGCAAGCCTAGAGATGCATCTCATTGACTTATCATACCTGAAATCGTTTAACACATGTCATTGCAGGAGATCTTTCCCACCCTGCCATGCAGGTGAGCATAGGTGAAATTCACCTTTGCACAAGGTCTATGCACCATTCAAGTCTAACAAAAGTCCTCAAAATAGGATTCAAATGGGACCTAGTGTCACTTGGCACAGGGGGTTCATTTCATCCTATAAATAGTGCCAGATATCAGGAAATAGTATCTTGTCCCAAAACTCCTTGCGTTCCTCAGGGGGTTAAGGGAGCTGTGAAATCATGCTAATTTAACACAGATATATGGTATAATCTGCCCTAAGTTAAATTAAACCATTTGTTACCTTTGTGCTCATCTGGACCAGGTTTAAGATGTACAGTACGTCGTTAAACATGACTGGAAACAGATACACGTTTTGCTACATGAGATGCTACTTCTGTTGTCACATAAAAAGGCCATTCTGTTCTGACTCAGGCTATTCTGTTCTAACTCACCCAGGGACAATGAATTTTCTTTTTGCGCTTTCATGTATGTACTGGAATCTATTCTCCCATTAAGGGGGAATAGTACATAGAGAAAAGATCCCAAAACATAGATTTATTCATGGAGAGTAAACTCAAACTGTAACTTAGAACTATTTTTTAAAGTTCTGATTCTGAACCCTTTTGATTAAAAACCTTTGGTTGAAATACACCCATCAGAGTAGGAGCCAGGGAAGCCCCCCAAAACAATTAAACCACTGGGATTCTGCTACCATGCAGGCAGGAAGCTGCAAAGTAGACACACGAGGCTACTATATAGCTCCTTCTTGTTCTAGGAATCCCAAGTGTTTTACGAAACAGTGTGTTACCATAGACACAGGTGCCGGCTTTTCCAAACTGTTCCAGCAATTTTAGGGTGGCGTACCTCCACCGTAGCTGATAGAGTTACACCAGTGGAACCCAGTGGAAAATCAGTCTGTGATAGTAATGTGACTGCAGAGGTCAATATGGCAGCCATTATCAACTCAGCAACCGAGCCTGAGTTCTAGTGTATCATATGTGTCTGTGTAGACGTAGTAGCTTTTCTTTTGATTGTACAGGGCAAGAGTGTCAGAACACAGCCGGCCACTCTGATGCGAACTGCAGCTTTCTCTACCCTACTTTTCTTAACGTCTCTTAGCAGTGCAGTATCCCCAGCGCATCTCTGCCCGCGAGAGAAACGATGGGAGTGCTAGCATAGACGAGCCGCCATCCAGTACTTTCCTCACCCTGCCATCTCGATGGGATCAGAACTGGGTTACGTGAAGCATTGCTAAGGGCACCACCACAGTGCTCCCACCGTTCCTGGCACCAGCCCAGCGGCACCAGCTGGGGTCCAGCCCTGGGAGATTGAAAGAAAATTGCCAGAGTAAATACAGGTAGCTAGTTATGCGTTTGTGGCTTGCAGTCTCAGGAAGGAAACAGCGAGTTTGTTATTCTTGATAATAAGCATTCATGTTAGGGAAATGGTCAAACCGACAGTGACAGTCCTAGTTCCTCCTGATGAAGAAACGTCCATTTAGTACAAAATTGGCTTGTAACATGGAAGTAACATTTTTCATACAATACAGTTTCCCTATCGGTGTGAGAAATTTCTTTCCCATCTTCTGTTTTCTCACTGAATCGATTAATATTAGGAGGTAATAGATACAAAATTCTATTAGTTGGATTGTGCAAATGATTTATTTGCTGCTAAATGAGTTCTCTTTGTATCGATAATGGACCTACAGTTGAAAAGGGATTAGGAGGTTAGTTCATTACACAGCAAAGTGAAGTATCTTTAACAGGCATCTGTTTTGCAGTTTAATTTGGATCTTCAGTAATGAATGGACACTACATCCATTATGGTTGGGACTTTCAGTAGCCTAAGGGAGTTAGGTCTCAGTCTCAATGAAATTGAATGGGATTTGGGTGCCTAAAGCTGGTATGCCCCTTTGAAAATCCCACTTTATGTCCATTGCATTAATGGGTTATGTGTTTTTTTCCCATTGTTATTTTCTACTGTCTATAAATCTCATGTAAGTAACTGAGTTGCCAACTGAGGTGAAAAATTAACAAAACACAAGTTTTTATTTGGCATAAAAAGCCTGATTATTTGATGCTGAAAGAAAATAGACCTTTTAATTCAGTTTCAGAGATATTATCCTTGCTATTTTTTAATAGTCTACTTGTTATAAAAAGACAGTCTGACACTTCCTACGCCTGGAATTTGACCTGCTTTACAATAGCTATAATCTTGTGGAAAATGTCCTGCACATCCTCAGGGCAGTCGTCTCAGCTTGCATAAATTGGTGTGTAGCTCCATTGACTTTCATGGAGTTAGGCCAGCTTAACCCAGCAGAGAATCCAACCCAGAGTATTTATTGGATTTGTGTATTTTTATTGAAATCCACCTCTCCTTCATCAAGAAATTTAAAACACCTCAGGCAATAACCATGGCTTTTATAGGGCCTAGATTTTTTTAAAAAGTTTTGTGCTCTGCTTATGCAGCTACATCAGAAAGAATGCAAAAAAACCCCACATCTAAAACCCTAATGAATTCTAGAGATGAGTTTATACCCTCTGTCATGTAAGTGCTCAAAAAAGTGATATTTACTGCTATTTTAACTAATAGAAATTTTTCACAGGAGACTAGAAGATTTGAAGGGTGCAGGTCATCAGAAAGGGAGCCTTTCCCTTGTAGGTCATTGGTTTAAATCAGGTCCATGTTGACAGCGACTAGGGTTCATTCTGTCTCATAGTTATTTGGCTAGTTACCATATATGAGACGACTTGGTGGTCTCGATGTAATGCCTAATGGAGATGATTGATTAATGTGTCTGTATCACTAAAAACGTCACTGTTGTTCACAGCAGCCGGAATACTTGGTGATAGTTTCAGTAAAGGCCAAATGAGATGAGGAAATTTTAGAGGGCAGCATGAGGAACTTGCACTGCGACAGCTGCAACTTCATAGAATCAGAGAAGTCTAGGACTGGGAGGGACCTTGAGAGGTCATCTAGTCCAGTCCCCTGCATTCAAAGCAGGACTATGTAATAAATAGCCCGTTCCTGACAGGTGTTTGACTAACCGGTTCTTAAAAACTTCCAGTGATTGAGATTCCACAACCTCCTTTCATGTATGTTAGCAGGAATAGAGCTCAGGAGCTTTGATTCTAAATGGTATGCTTGTGGTAGAAGCACTCTTACCTTCTGTGGGCCAACATGTAGGGCATGTCTACACTTACCTCTGGAGCAATCGATCCAGCAGGGGTCGATTTATCGCGTCTAGCGAAGACACAATAAATCAACCGCCAGGTGCTCTCCCGTCGACTCCGGTACTCCACTGGAGCAAGAGGCGCAGGCGGAGTCGACGGGGGAGCATCAGCAGTTGACTTACCACAGTGAAGACATGTATTTATGATTCATGTAGCTGAAGTTGTGTAACTTAGATCGATCCCCCCCGCAGTGTAGACCAGGCCGTAGAGGACAACATAATCATATACACTTAACCAGCATTGCACTTTGACCCACAAGCATTGACATCCTTTTTTTCCTCTTGAGTTATGCTTTCAATATCAGTCTTGAGAAAACCCAAAGTGAAACGAAATCAAAACAACTGATTTTCCGCCCGATTTCACATCAAAACTACACAAAACTTTCACTCAGTTTCAACAGGAAACCATAAATCAGCCCAAGTTGGTTTGAAATTGGGGCTAACTTTGCATCGCGCAACCCAAAACAGAAGCTGCAACCCAGTAACAATTTTGCAATGATTTCAGATTTTATTGTGCGTCCTGCTCTCATGGCAGCCATCTAGCTTTGTGTTACAACAGAAAGCTTTGTAAAGGAGATAGAAGGGGTTTAGATGTTTTTATTTAATATGTTGACAGGCTTTACTAGTTTCCCTTGTCTTAGTGTTTGGTTACAGGATACTTGTAATGTATATATATGGCTTCTAGAATCTTTCTGGTCAAATTAGACTGTGAAATGACTATGCGACTTTCACTCTGGGGTAATCCCCAGTTTGCTCTGCATTGCTGCTGATCGGATTCCACATCTGTGGTTAAAAGTATTTTATGTTTTTACTTCTCACCTAAGGATCATTAGGCTTGAGAACAGACCAGTTAAAGAAATTGTTTCCTAGGATTTAAGGCTCGAGAAATAAAAGCAAAGTTTAGAAGAAAAGGGAAAAAAAGGAGCGATACTGGGCTTCTATATGATTTTGAATAACTTCATTCAGGAAGACAAATATGCTCATAGCAAAGAAGAGACAGAGCAACCAATGAGTTATGATTGTGGTAGTAATTTTCTTATGAGTTAATTTTTTTCCCTGTGTGCCAGTCATAGGTCCAAATCTTACAAGCTCTGACTAAAATGGGAATTTTGTGCATAAAGTACTTGCAAGATTGGATCCTAAATGTAACTCATATTTATGTATATATATATATGTGCGTGTGACTTATACTGCGTCTCTATACATAATATATATACTGTACATTTATATAGATACAGAAAGTATTAGAGCATATACAGAAAAAATCTTACTCATTTGTTCATTAATTTTATTTCAGAATTGTTTTCTGAATATCTGTTCTTCCTGTGACCTATATAATATATTTTTGGGACTTATTCTGCCTTCTTTACTCAGGAAGAATCAGGCTCACTTTAGGGAATATTTTAGCTGAAAAAATGAGATCTTAATAGATTATAAAATCATGCCATAGAGATTCTTGCCAATTTCATAGCACGAGATGAAGGAAGGAAAGAAAATGCTTTCTAAATAAACATGCTTCCTGCCCATTGATCCATACTCACAGCTTCCATGTACTAGAGGAGGAGTTTTAGAGGCTTGATTGACTAAACTCTTTGAGGGTTGCATGGGGTTTAAGTGAGGGCAGAACTTGGTCCTAAATGTATAAATTTTAGCCAAACTCCAACTGTTCTCTGCAGAATAGAAAGGAGGGATTTCATTAGGTAGGGGGCATAAGACTGCCAAGTGACATAAGCCACTACAGAAATAAATTTGGTGCTGTACACACTCACTTCATTTCACTTCTGAACTCTTTTTACCATTACATAGGGATGGAGGTGTCCACAGTTCTTCGGCACTCCTTCAGGTCTCTGGCATGTGTTCGTAGGTCTTGGAGTTCCAGTCCTTTTCTCTTCAAAATTCTCTTGACCAGAGTCTTTCCGTCATATCCTGTCTTGCTGTCCTCTTCCTCCCATGCTTTCTTTGCTTGGTTGTTCTTTTCCAAGTCTTCTCCAGTCCGCCTCAAACATGTGGTCTCCAGCTATCTGTCATTGAGAGCTAGGGTGACCGGATGTCCTGATTTTATAGGGACAGTCCCTATATTTGGGGCTTTTTCTTACATAGGCTCCTAATACCCCCCATCCCCATCCCGATATTTCACACTTGCTATCTGGTCACCCTATTGAGAGCCCCAAGTTCATCTTCCCCCAATCTCTTCCATGTGCATCCTGTCTACTTTCTGCTTGCCTGCCATCTTCCTCAAAATGTTGTTTTCTACTGCCTGTTTCTTCTTTTCTTCCAGCTATGTAAAACACACCATATATCAGGCAGGGACAAACTCATACAGCATCCACTTTTCCTTTCAGTTTGTTACTTAACTGCCAGTCCTACAGGTCACCTTTTCTACTGCCACTCATGCACATTGGGTGCTGTGTACACTTAGCTGAAATACAAAGTACATAATTGTCAAGCCTGGCTACCAGCTCTCCTTTTTGGTTCTCAGCGGGCACTGACATGCCCAAATTTAGTCTTTGGGTTTCTGACATGCTAGTTTGAGAGCTTAGGTGTGGAACTGGCTGCCCTCACTTGGGCACCCAAGTGTGTGATTTGGGCCCTACACTTCCAAAGATAAGGACCTATTCTCTTTGTCCCCTAGGACTTTGCACAGAACTCACATTGAAACGAGGGTGAATCTCATACATAGAACAAAGAGTCATTATGGCTTTTAGAAATACAATCCATATTGTCTTTTACAGTAGGTTTAAAAATTAAATAAATACGGCATTTTATCTTATTCTTGATATTTCAGGACATTTATTCAGTCTCCACCATCTACACTGCTGAAATCTGAGAATCCCTACATTTGATAATAAAAACAGCAACAGAGACTAACACAGGATCTGGAATGTCCTGCAGAGAGATTCAGATCTTTAGCATGTGAGATAATAATGTTTCTGTTTTGGGGCTTAATTCTGCTCTCAGTTACTGTCATGCAACCCTACTGGCAGGGCCTGCTCCAGGCACCAGCTTTCCAAGCAGGTGCTTGGGACGGCATTCAGAATGGGGCGGCCGTCCGTGTCCCACGGCCGCAATTTGGCGGCAGCTCCACCGCTCTTCCGGGGGCGGCGGCAATTCGGTGGCGATTGCTTGGGGCGGCAAAATTGGTAGAGCCACCCCTGCTACTGGGATAACTTCAGTGGCATTGTGCCACTATAGACTAGAGCAGACTGTGGCTTTCTGGTAGGACCCAATTCAACAAGGAATTTACATAAGCAGTGGGACTTAAGCACGTGCCTTATGCCCTGATCCAGCAAAGCTGCTATGCATGTACTTTAAGCATGTGAATAGATACTGACTTCACTGAGATGACCCATATGTTTAAAGCTAAGCACATGCCTAAGTGCTTTGCTGGATCAGTACCTTTGTATCTATATTATTTCTTGTCTTGGTGAACAATACCCGTGCAGTGTAGCGTTCTTGAGCAGTCATAATCTACCAGGTCATGGCAAGGTAAAAGAGAAAGAGATTGGATTACCAAGAAGAATGTAAGTAAAATGTTGATGAAGATAATTGAATGGCACAGAGAAAGAGAGGGAGTTTTGCAAACACAATAGAACTCTTTGTCTTTTTTCTAAAGAATTCAAACATAATCTTGGTCTTTGACCAGCCTTTTAATGTCCTGTTTTGTTTTACACGGGAATTAAAAAATATTTTCCATTTGTTTTAATTATCTACTCACTTTAACTTTGACCTTTGAAAAGTGTTTTGCTATGACATCCATTGGTCTCATGGTGAGCAGTGCTAGGAAAACAGCAGCAAAAATAAATCTTTTAATTTATTTTACCTACTATGTTTAATCCCTTTAATCTGTTAATAATTTGTGTTTTCTTCCTTTTTGCAAAACAGCAGGTTTATCACTGTTAAGCATGATTTTCGGGGACGTATGTTGTTTCACTATAACAAAATTTTCACTGAACAATTTTCCTAAGTGATCAATCCATTTTCAGTATGAAATCTTACTCTAAAACCAACTTTATCTTACTGACTTTTTCTAACTGTGCCCTCATTATAGTTAAAACTCAACTTTTTAACAGCATTTTTTAAAAGGTAGATTTTGTTATTTTTCTTTTGTTTTATAAACAGTGTTTGTTAAAAAAGATTACTGTCTTGCCAAAAAAAGATGATGATTTCTATGCATTGGGTGATTCAGTGATGTTGAGATTTTGCATGTCTTGTAGGTGCTCTTACATATGTACATTTGTGATATCTGTAGAAATGTTAACCATGTCAATCAATGGCTATTAGCCAGGATGGGCAGGGATGCAAAACCATGCTCTGAAGTGTCCCTAGCCTGTGTTTGCCAGAAGCTGGGAATGGGTGACAGGGGATGGATCACTTGATGATAACCTGTTCTGTTCATTCCCTCTGGGGCACCTGGCACTGGCCACTGTCAGAAGACAGGATACTGGGCTAGATGGACCTTTGGTCTGACCCAGTATGGCCGTTCTTATGTTCTTATGTATTGCTGCTATAACCACTTATTGTAGTTAACTGAAAAATCTGTACTAAGAGGCTGTGCCAGTTAATAGTTTTATGTATGACATGATAAACTGTGTACTCTGCTGTTTGTTTAATGTTGTGAGCCAGTATTTAGTGCCTTCTGTAGAAGGAAACAATATGTTGTGGTAGACAGGAGGTGCCAAATTTACAATATCCTGTTCCACACAAGGGACCACACACCAGGTTAAAAAAAATCATCTCCAGCTTTTAAGAAAAAAAAAATTCTAAAAGTGACTGGAAAATGTCATGGATTTTTTCTTGTTTATTAATGTATTATTTACTAAATCAGATACATGTGAAGACACAGAGCGATTGGTAAGAAGGGACATGTTGCTGGACAGCATTTTTTTATTTTATTTTTTTAATGTTTGGTCTGCATGTGTTGCAGAATAACGGGAGAAGAGTTTGATATCTGAAATGGTGATTTTAGTATTAAATCAAATCATTAGGAAAACCTTTTAAATTCGTAATGGAACAGTCTTAAAAACTGTATTGACCTGAAACTGAAGTGATACAGGAATTATGCGTTCCGGTGTTGGCTTTCCAAGTGGTCCTGATTCTGATCTCCCTTGCACCCAGTGTAACTGAGGAGTAACTCCTCCAAGCTCTATTGAAATCAATGGAATTACGCTGCTGTAAAACTAATGTGAGATCAGAGTCAAGCCCAATAGTTTTGGCCTCCCTCTTTTCAGGTATCTTCATGCCAGACCCGTTGTATCATAATTCTGACATTTCATTTTCAAAAAGTCACTTTTCTCCTCTCACTGAAGAAGCTGAAAATATGAATGTAAAAAACAAAGTAGATGAATTCATCTTGATTTTGATCTGAGTTTTAACAGGGTGAAATCTTTAGATTCCTTTTTTAAGTGGAAAACCAAATAACATGAGTTTACTGGAAGGGTTTAGGATGGAGAAGGATGATCTACTGAAAAACTTGGGAAGATTTTTGAAACCAAAATACCAAGTTGCCAGAAAAGCAATATTACTTGAAAAATATCAATGATTAAAATTCATCCCTTGACTAACTGTATTAAAGTCAAGTCTATACCCCAGGAATGAATTTGACTTCAAAAAATCTTAAAAGCACTTGTAATTGCAACCTTCCTCCAAAAAGACTGCTAAACCAAGATTTTCAAAAGTGACTAGTGGGTGCATCACTTTTTGGGTGTCCAACTTGTGATCCCTTAAAAGACCTGATTTTCTGAAGGTGGGTGCTCAGCACTTTCTGAAAATCATGCCTCTATGTCTCCCAGAAATCAAGGCAAGCAAAATCACTAGTCACTTCTGAAAATATTATCCACATTTAAATGTATAAAGTCTAGTTATGACTCTTTGGTGTGTTCCAACCTCCTACATAGTGCTTTTCAGCAGTTGACCTCAAAGCACTTCACAAGCTTTTTAATATATTACTCCTTACAACACCCCTGGGAGGTAGGGCAGTGCTATTATCTCCATTTTACAGATGGGGAACTGAGGTTCAGTGTGGTTAAGTGATTTTCCCAAGATCACAGAGGAAGTCTGTGGCGGAGCAGGGAATTGAATCTGTGTCCCCCATGTCTGAGGCTAATGCCATAACCCTTTCCCCATCTCCAGAGATCTTGGGCCTGATTCTCAGCTGATGTAAATTGGTGTAGCTTCATTGTCTTCAGTTTGGCTCCTTTGTTGCTGAGATGACTTCATTTTTAACATTTGCTACTTTTAAAGTCAACTTTGACCAACTGCAAGTTGATTCTCCACGGCTTTGTCTGTCTGGTAGCCACTGACACATGAACAAAACACATGTAAAATGCCACCACTGGCATGAGTGCAGAATTCTGATTTGGGAGAGTTTACACCCACTCGGTACAGATGTTAAATGGCTACCTGAAGTGTGAAGCGGTGGAGGACCACGCCCTTCATCTGTGCTCCTATGCCAGTCACTGCCATATCTTGCTCTTGAGTCTGTCACGCATCAGAGTCACTGCTTCGGAGGGTTAATGGCTGCACAGCATTTATTCAACATTTTTCTATCCAACACACTAGTTTGCCAAAAATTACACTGGGTCCCTCCAGTACAAAAGCTGTTTTTTCATGGTTCCCATGCCTTTGTCGCTCATTGCGGAAGCTGGATGTGTTCTTGCCAAACTAGATCGCTGTAGTGATTGACGTTATTTCGTTAGTGCACTGCAATCTGGAAAGGTGATCATAACTCTACCGGCATAAACCTGGGACAAGGAAATGGACTGCTGCCCTCCGAGTGTAAAAGGCTCTGCTGGTACATGTTCGTCTCCTACCACTGCTTATGAAGGGAAAGCTACTCATTTGGTTGTGCTAATACTGTGGTGGACTGAATACTGCTTTCCACTTGCTTGAGTCCTTCTACTCACTTACTCAGTTATGAATTATGCATCCTTGGGGTCGCCTCTTTTACAATCACTGAGGTGTCTGGGGAAACCTTATATAAGTTTAACCACATTACAGGAAATGGTACTTTTAGAAAATATTTTAATGTTCTGGGCTGGGATTCTGAAAGGCGCCTAAGGGAGTTATATATCCAAATTCCACTGAAATTCAGATGCCTAATTCTCTTAGGCTCCTTTGAAAATCCCAGTCCTAAACGTAACCAGTTATTTTAAAACAAAGATCTCCGTATGAAAAGGTAATCTATTTTTAGTATTAAAATAGGGTTCTGTGTAAAAATGGCATCCTCTTCCTCAGCAAATCTGCTCCCTCTGTGTATTCTGAGTCTCATTTGTTTGTTTTAGTGGGGAAAAGGTAAGATTTCGATGTATTTTAATACTTCAGAACCAGTACATCTCTGGGAAAGTTATTTGGATTCTTTTCTAATTTGTGCATCATCAACAAAACTGTTAACTAAGATTCAGCCCCAGTGCCTTCAAGTGATGCCCTCCAGGGAGGAAATAAGATTGCACCAGTGTAACAGAGTGGGGAATATGAGGGAAATGAGGCTGAACAATGGTAACTGAAGACATAATCTTGGTCACTTGATCTTTGTTATTGGTGGTGGGTGAGTCATAAAGAACCCATCTTGGGACTCAGATCCTAGGCTAAGATTGCCACTTGTTATCTTTGCACATTTGATTTGGACTCAGCAAAGAGCAATAAGTGTGGAACCCCACACTGCCATTTCTACAAAGTAACTTTTTAGAGTAGAACTGCATGAAGTGTTGGATCTTTGGCTGGTGCCAACCACTGAAATCAATGAAGTTACTGCTTTTTGCACCAGCTGAGGATCTGGCCCTTATGTACATTAGGTGTGATTAAAATAGTCCACTTTTCTATAAGGTCTATTTACCTCTCCACAAAGACAGATGTCACCTTTTGTTCTCATATGTCTGACCCTTAGACTTTAACTGGGATGGAATAAACACTTTATGCCATACATCTACTTCCCGGTAATTTATTTCAGAGCTCTCCTGGAACAGTGCTGCTGTTACACACTTTGCAAAAGAAACAGGGAAACACTGAATAGGTAAGGAGAAGAAAGTGAAAACAAGAATTTCATACGGTGGCTGTGTTCCTGCCTTTTCTCACCTCTCAGATCATTTTAAGTATTTAAAAAGAACAAGTTTAGTTGCTTATTAACTGGAGTAGATCATTAACTTTTGTCTTGCCGTTGACTGATCTTCAAATTGCTAAGCGAGTCTGATGTTTTAGCATTTCAGCTCATTGTTTATTTCCCCCCATGAGTACATTTTAAAAGTCTAGTTTTTCTGAACAACAGATTGATTTCATGGTATGTACAATGTTTGCTACTATTGTAGTGTGACTTTATTGTTTTTAAATATTTGTTTTGGTACAGCCTTAAACTTCTAGAACTAAGAAGAGCATTTCAAAATTAAGCAACTGATAACGTCATTGATGTCTGTGATAAGTGCATGCTTTATTCACAGTATTTTGTCTGTAATGGGGTATGGTGACCAATTCTCATTTATGTAATAAACTGTTTTCTGCAAAGCTGGCTACTTTCTTTAATCACATGAAACCAATGTACTTTAAAATTTGAAGCACATTAGAGAAAAGAACCCAACCCACTCACAAGCTTTTCAGGTATGGATATCAACACAGCTGTGAAATTCTTGTGAGCCAGTAAAACATTCTGAGAAGATGCATGCAAACAAGCCCATGAAAAACTATTTCCTGCCCAGCCTTGTATAAATTCATTGACGTCACCCAGGCCTCGATTCAGGAAAGCATTAGGCACATACTTAAGTCCATCCTTATTCAGGAACGCGCTTAAAAATGTGCTTTAGTTACAGTGACGTCAATGGGATTGAAACCCAGGCTTCAAGTGCCCTTCCTGAATAAGGATGTTTTCCCGAATCGGGGCCCGAGGTTGGATTCAGTGAAGATAGGGGGATATTTTGGCTCTAAGTGTTCCATTTTGCTTTTAGAATTTCCATAACTGGGACTGCCCGTCTCACAAGAGAGCAACGTTTTCAATTGAAATGGGGTTTTTCAAGCCCAAGACAGTTGTCTGTGTTTTGTCCAACTAGCCAGTGTGGTGACATGCTTTCCTAATGGCTAATCTGTGTGTGTGCGTGTATGTGTGTGAGCAATTTTAAAAGTTCTTTAGGTAGTCAACAGAAATTACTTAAGGAAGGGTTTTGACTTAAACCTACAATAGAAGTAGACTCAGATCCAAGGCTGTGAACCTGGGATGACAGTCTCTTCCCAAGCCTGAACTTTCACTGTTCTAGAATACGGTATTAATATGTAAGACAATTCTGAGTCACAAACTCTTTTATTTTAACGATGCCAATAAAGCAAAATATCCCAAATTAAAAATCTGGCAGCTGTAAGAGAAGCCCCCAAAGCAGCTGCTTGTATGATGACAGCAGTGTTGAAGGAAGAGATTATCAGACAATCTCAAGTGCTTATGATAGGGGCATGGCAAAAAGATAGACATAAAACAACCAATGATAACTGTTAACTAAGCAAAGGCAGCATGTTCCAGGTTTGCTTGGGGAGAATAGGGCAGTCAAATGTGAGATGATTAAGCGGGGGCAGGGGAAGAGCTAGTGAGTTGTTTTCTCCTTTTGTCTCAGCTTTGGATCTTCATAAATTGACAAACTCTGCTAAATGGGGAACCATGTCGCTGAGCAGTGGCAGTTTGTGGGGTCATTGTGATGCTCCTTTGTCCAAGCCCATGAAATCTCTTCTGAATGTCTGGTGATCTTGGGATGCATTGAAGAACTGATTTGAAGTTAGTTTTAATGCTGGTTAGCTTTAAAGCCTCTTCAGTGACTCCAGCAGTAGGCAGAAAGAGGGACCAGGACAGTTTGTATCATATCTCCCTACTCAGAACATCTCTGCTTCTGCAAACAGTGGAATGAGTGCAGGTTCCTTCCTCCCCCGTTATGCACTTGGCTGACCATCCCTGGGACAGGTCAGCGTGAACTGCAGCCAGTGTACTTGGCCTTCTGGGACTTAGACATGCCATGCAGCTGTGTAAATGCTGATCAGGACCGGGCCTTAAATGTTTGAGGAAGAAATATTGGCCAGAAACTGATCTTGTAAGCTTTGCTCTATCTTTCAGCTGTGCAACTAACACGTATCACTGTCATGCTTTTATTGAAATTTCATAATCCAGACATTGTTTACAAATGACATGTTAATTGATGTAGAAGTAGCTCAGGGATATTATGGCACGATGCCTATTCAGATGTATTTAAGAGACAAGAGTTCACACATTAGTGAGCTAGGGTTTGAAATTAGTTTATAATGTATTCCAAAAACAAGTGGAACTTGGCAGCTGTCCCTGGAAAGACATGTGAGATATCTCTTTAGAATAAACCAGCGTTTGTACGTGTTATAAGGCTAGCTTTTGGCAATGTGAGTCATCTTGCAGCAGTTTGGGAGAATATTTTGAAAAAAGAATGAGAGAGAGCTGTGAAGTTACCTCCTTTTTTATGTAAACATTCTCTGTTTGTAGATCCAAATCCTGAGTAGGCACCTAATGGAAAATCTGCAGGTAGGAGTTGAAATGTGGAGCAGAAACTGACCGTCGCTATGGCTCAAAAACCTATGGAGAAACCACACCAAAGTCCCTTCGTGAGATGAGCAAAGACTCAAATAGTGGTAGCTCGAGGTTAGAATTGTATGGGGCATTGTAACTCACCTCAGCTCTACATGTTTGTTAAGAATACTTGTTTTGGCCTAGACTTCTCGCTTTCTTTTCCATACAAAACAACTCATAAGACACATGGTATTGAGGAAGATTCTGTGTTACTCATTAGCATTTGGAAGGAGATTCCGGAATATAGGAAGCATGGAGCTCTCGTCTAAGAGCACTTTTGGAAGCATCTCTCAATGCTGGGTTGTGTTTGGGGAGCTGCATATGTCTGTTCTCCAGGAGAGAATAATGGAAAGGGTGTCGTTGTTTGTTCAGATAAGGTTGCCCTGGACAGTCATTTCAGATTACAGGATCAGCTACCACTCTTGCTCTGTGCACAGAGCTCCCTTTTATGTCAGGGAGCAGCATGCACACTGATCAGTAAGTGGCTCATAGAATCTTGCAGGTCTCCTTTTGGAGGAAAACTACATTTTTAGGAAGTGGGAATGATGCTGAGATATTAAAATAAATCACATTTTCAGCCTCTCAATTTTGATGGTGTCTCATTAACCCTCCTTGCAAATTTCTATGTCCTTGCTCACCTTAAACACAAAAAATATAACTATTATAAAAAATTATAAAAAATATAAAAAAATATATAACCCCTGCCTCAAGGACAGTGCAGAGAGTATAGAGCTATCGGACCCATAGGGACACTTAAAGTTCTGGTATACGGAAAACACAATACAGCGCTTGTTGGATAGACTTGGAGCATGTACATATTTTTGACAGGGAGGAAATAATATCACTAGTTGTTTTTATCATCATCTTAATTGCAGAAGTCTAGTGAGCAGATTTTGCACCGGGTACATTTTCGCTATGATTTTGCAACATGCTTAAAAAAATATTGACATTGCGGGAGCAACTTAGAGAGTCAAACAAAAAGGGACCACTTTCAAATGAGTCTGCCGCTTGCCTCAGGCTCCACAGTGCTTTTGAAAATGGAACTTAGGCAAGCACCTCAGCAACTTGAAAATGTAACCTGAAAAGTCTAACTTAGAGTTGACATCCACACAATGAGTTGTGTCTAGATACTGTTGTGACTCCTATCCATGCACAAAGCTATCCTTCATGTGCGCTACAATGTGTTCATACATAATTTTAAACAGTTAGAACTTGACTCTCTGTAGACTGATGACTAGGCATGATATATTTTTGCAAGTGCATAAATACCCTGAAGTTAAGGGGATTTTGGGATGATAAAAGCAAGGGGGATTTGTCACACACTACACAGACGAAAAATGCAAATGACTGTCTCCTGGCAGCCTTGGGCATCTCTGATTTAAGCCCGGTTCTAAAAAGCACTTAAGCACATGCTTAATTGTAATGATTCATTGGGATTTAAGCATGTGCTTCAAATTAAAAACATGCTTAAGTGTCTTGGGTCTTGATCCAAAGCCATGGAAATCAATGGAAATCTTTCCATTGACTTTAATGGGCTTTGGATAGGCTCGTGTTGAACAGGGATGGAACACTCACATACTTAAAATGAAGTCCGTGTTTGAGTGCGGTGTTGGATCAAGGTCCTTGTCTTTTCCAATGCTGCCTTGCTGTGTTAGATAGTACTGATTGCTAGAATTAGTGGAGTAAACTGCTTTCTCCTGGAACACAGGAGATTAGAATGCAAATGTAGAATATATTTACAACAAAAACGATCTGTTCCCCAGATAACTGAATATTCGGTGGCTCCTGTTCCCATGCTTATCTGACACACTGATCCAGATGGCAACCTGCCTTCCTCAGTGCCATCTTATTACTTCAGTTTTGTTTTGTTAAAAACAATCTCTTTTTCTGTGTATACCTGAACTACCCACGGTGATGATGGTAACTATCAATTTGTGAATCAGCTAGTTCGGTTCTCAAGCTTTAATAACAACGTAAGCTGAGTTATATGGGATCTTCAATCGAAAGAAAAAGCCGGGGGAGAGCGGGGAGTTGTGTGTAGAATAAAAGTTATGAGGATTTTATTTGATTTAGTAACATCTTACAAGTATATTGAGCGTTTTGTCTGAAGTATTGCAAAACAGCTGTCTTTCTGTTATGAGCTTTTTCAGCGCCTAGCACAGTGGGGGCTGATTGGGGCTCTTAGTTGCTACCGCAATACAAATAAATAATAATAAAATATTAGAGACGAGCCTGAACCAAACCTCGATGTCTTGAACACACCTGGAACTTTGGAAAAGTTTGGGCCCAGTGCTTAACTACCTGTCAGATTATATCCTGTACCTCAGAGACGTCTGCCTTCTGCTGGGACTCAAGGAAGCTGCACCGGTGATGCTGTGTCTCAAAAATGTAGTCCACAATTTTCAAATCTGTGCGTCTAAAGTTAGGCTCCTATGTGGATATTTTTAAAAGCACCTGTGGCTATTAGGAGCACAAGTTCCACTGATTTTAAGTGACAGTGGTGCTCCTAAATCCCTTGGGCACTTTTGAAGCTCTTCCCCCTAAATCTCATATTTAGGCTAATAACAAGAAGTGGGCCTGGTTTTCCAAAGGACTGAGTGGTTGCTGCTCCCAGTGATAGCCCTTGGACCAGCTGGCAGTGTGACTGAATACTAGAAATGTAGGACTGGCAGGCACCTTGAGGGGTCGTCAAGTCCAGCCGGAGGATGTCTTCACAGATGGCACTCTGGGAAAGCAGAGGGGGGCAGGTGGCTTGTACAGAAATTTGGCACAAAGTGGATACTGTTGATTAAGTGTGCTCAGCAATTGCCTCAGGCAAGCAGAAGGGATCAAATACAGGGAAAGGGCTTGCCTGAGGGTTGCCAGAAGAAAGGGGCACAAAGTACCGAGGGATCTTTGCCTACTGGAGTCACTGAAAGGTGAGCTAAAGCAATGGGGG